ATGCATTTAGAATAAATTGTCTTGTAGTTAAGTGAAAAAATATATACTTTTCCGTTTCATGTTTCATGACTGTCATATTTATCCCTTAACCTTAAACTGAAGCATCGGATATTTTTATTCTCGTGAAATCATATAGATACACGTAATATGAATGGAATACATAACACTTCATTTGTGCTAATAATACTCAGAATTCATGCTTTATCGGTAACGTCGGGTATTGACACTAAAATGGTAAGGGGGCTACTGATGCCCTCGAAGCATGGGACAGAAAATTACATTGCAAGATAGGTCTATTCTTATATCTTGTCTGTGTTTTTATGTCCGTGAAATGGCCGTTTTTTAAAAATACCATAAAATCCATTAATCATGGCATTTGTAAACATAGGATCAATGCAGGTAAATACGATACGCAATTTGAGACGGGCAGAATTAAATTTGAGTCCTTAATTCCACAGGTATTCTCATTTTTCTGGATTGTTAGTTGAAAGCCCCATCACTAGATAGCGTGACAATTTAACATTCCCAGGCAAAATTTTGTTTTTATTAAATATTTCATTATTAAGCAGTTTCGAACAGGCTTTGTTATTCTAAATATGTATAGGGAAATTCAATAAATAGTCCACCATCTGCAGAATATGTTTTTATTGCAGAGTAGTCATGTTTTTGTCATGTTTGCGTACTTCTTGTGCCAGACATGACGACTTATTTGGACGCCACAGTCGCAATAGAATTTATTTTTTAAGGGTTTCGCGTAGACTTTTTTGTTTTCCACGGTAGGAATTTAAAGCTCAAAGGATGCAGATTATTTTCGAGTAACTCTCAATTAAAAAAAATTCCCGCAACATTGTCAAAATTGCAATTGATCTCATTGAGGCTGGAGGGTTTTCTATATACATATTCATACGTGAATATACACTGTACGCATTATTCCAGATATCAGTATTGGTTGCACATAATCTTTTTCAGTACCGTTAGTTGCTGAAAATAGAAACTAATCAATGTGTTGATACACAGCTTTGAAGCTTTTAAACCAATCGCACGCTTGACGATAATAATGTTTCGCTTAAGTCACTACAGGGGATGGGGAAGATCTTTTAGGGAATGGTTTTAAGGAGTAGAAAAAGCACGCACGTGTCTACGCAATACATCGTAATCTAGTAATAAATTATAAATATATACTTGCATATTACAACTATAGATACAAAAGATGACATGCGGTATGAAAGTATCGTTCGTTATGCGCTTAATGTAAAACCACGATCCCACGTGTGCAACTCGCCACGCGAGACATCGCTAAATCGTTTTCTTCGACGCGTGTAATCTATGAAAATCTTCCCGACAGTTTTCGACGATATTTCTTCGACTATGTCACACGTTTCACACGTGGAAAAGTGTCTCAATAGTCCGCCATTTCTCTTTTTATCACTTTCCCGTACGGCACTGGGCACAGAACGTTCACGTGCGATTTTATATTTCCCTCGATTACGGCCGATCTGCAAACCGTTCATGGGATCGTTATACTTTAAACTACCATCGGACTAACCGGTCTTAATTACGATTTCCCGTAGACAGTCAATGTTGTATAGTAGATGTTGTTAATTTTGGGTGCAAACATTCGAAAATTTACGCGAATACATTCTCAATTTGGACAGATGTCAAATGTTAATCACATACATACAGTTACGATCGATCGTAAATCATGGATCCCCGATCGAACGAAGACGAAGAAGGTCGGGGATGGTATAAACGGTTGCCTGTGATAAGTGGCGCGCGGCATGAATGAGCGGGAACGCGAGTCAGCACCGCTTTTGGGCGCCGCATGGATCTCGTCTATGAAATAACCGAGTGAAGTAAATCGAGGTGAAGGGTCCCGCAAAGCGGGTAACGGTACATTATACTCATCGGAATTCATGGTACGGTCCATTCGTACTGCGACTGCACGTCCATCCTGTTTGTAGGTACGATTCCGACCGTCGTGCTTCCAGAGTCCGGTTTCTGAGAAGCATAAGCGGGCCAGTCATCTGTCTCCCGAGCTACTCAACCGACTTGAACAGGCGTACAAGAACCAATTCCTCTCGTGCCTTTCTGCGTTGAATTGCAATGGGAATCGTGATTCGCGGCATTCAGCTGAGAATCGCCTGGTATTAGGTGGTTCTTAAAGACAGAGCACAATGACGCGAGAGACGTTTGTTTTTTTATAGTTACGATCGCGAAAAGTTTATTCCTTTTTGCGAGATTTACGTTCGAATATGTCGTTCGTTAACGCATGTCAATCGGTAGCGAGGAAAAGTTTTTAATAAGAGGACGAATAAAATACGAAGCGCGAGCAAGATTGTACAACGATGGTTAAGCGGCCGGTTAATCGGAAAAGGCATTAACAAGGTTTCCGGCTCGTTACAGCCCGGTCGAGGGGAATGATATAACTTTATGACGCTCCTGGAAAGAATAACTCGCCGATGCTCTCTTCCCGTGGAACGTTGTTACCGAGGCGGTCTATACCACCTGCTCGAAACCGGCTCGCGGAGCCAGGTCTAGTGAACTCGATCGAATTCCGAGACCGGATTCTGCGAAACGACCGCCGGTGCTCCGATTCGCTTTTTTCACGCTGAACCGACTTCTTCGAACTGTTTTCGGCCACGACTGGCCCTGGGGAAGACGAGAATGAGAGGACGCGCGTCACTGTACAAGCCCGACCGTGAAACAGGCCTAATCGTCTGATGGATTTTTTTTTGTCACTTATTTTTCAAACAGTACTGCATCGTCTCGATGAAAACGAACGGTTTGCAGATCGGCAAGTTCTGTCAATCCACCTACCCACGCGTGAGAACACCGCGTGGCGTTAACGATCATCGTTTTCTGCATGGAAGAGACGTCTCCGTCGCGACGCCAAGTCGATCCAGATTCTCGACTTGCTAGAAGGATGTTCCGCCGGATGTAATCGTGTCACCGTACCCTGGACAAACTAGGGAAGTTGATCGGTCCATGGTAAAAGTGGCCCCCACCCCCTCCCATCCGTCCAGTGGATAAGAAAGAAACGGTTCCCGGGGAGAAAAACTCTTGCATTTTCTCGATTTCTCCCGAGAAATCATTTTCTAGCGACTTCAATAGGACAACTGGTCTCTCTTCTCTCGGCGTTCGAGCTGGCTCCGTCAAAGAGGTTACTAGGTCCCACGGCGAAGTTGTTCGAGCTTGGGGTCACCTACCACCGACACACGGCATTCGGGACCGATCCTCCCGGTCAGCAGAATCTTTATTCCCGATTGCCCCCGGCCACCTCTGAGTTCGACGAACGTTTAAAAGCTTGGAACAGCCGGAGGCTCCGACGAGGCGCTTGCCGAATTCCTCGGCTTGCAGACGCAACCGCTCTCGACCAGAACGTAATCTTGACCGGTCAAGGTCACCGGTCCCAGCGGTATCACCAGAAACAGGTACGGCACGTATGTCTGCGTGCACTCGCCGTGGACCACGTCGCACTCTTTCGATCTGAAACAACGTGGACGAACACGATTTTCGTTCGGTCAATCTCAAAGTCGACAATTCGGGCGACCCGACGAACACGGAGAAGGCCCGCGACACCGCGTGACTTGATAATCGTCCGAGCAAATACCGGTCCGAAAAAAAAAAAGAAAAGAAAAGCGTTTCAAAAGTAGCCTCGTTCCCGGTCACGAATACAATGATAGCAGACCCGTCCGCCGGCCCACTGTGCCACATTTACGAATCGACGCGACTCGCCGATTGGCCTCGAAAGAATTTCAAATTCGAATCATGCGCTTACATTTACAGATCCGCGACTCGACGTGCCAAGGAAGCAGCAACGGGGCGGTGGATAACGATCGAAAACTTGACGGAATTTCTCATCGGGAGACGTAACCGCGGATGGGGACACTAACGGAATTCGGGGGAAACCAACGATCGGCTTTATGGGACAGTACTTACTCGCAAACCTCGAACACCACCTGTTGCAACAGATCGGGGAACTTCTGAACGATCGTCACCGGTTGACCGCTGGTCAAGCTGACCCCGTACATGGGCGCTGTGGTGTTGTACCTCGTTTTGCATAATCTGGCCGGCGAACCGCAGGATTCTTTCGGAGTAAATGCTCGTCCTGAGGACAAAAAATTATTGTCCCGTATGAACCGAACGCTTATTTCGTATTTACATTCTAGCATGTATATAAGTAATAGTAAAGAAATCAGCGTTGTGTCGAGCACGTATAAAAGGGTAACTTTGAAAAGGATCGACGAATCATCGTTGTAAATTCGTTCGAACCATGAATCTCCAACGTGAAACCTCGAAATGAGGAGTAAACGAAATTATGTAGGTGCCTCGTCCGGCATGATTGGCGCCCTTTCTTTGGAATTCCGACGGCTCGTGTGTTCGTAACGACGAGTGGGTCGCCGATAGGTCCCGTTATGAGCAGAACGCGAGCGATAACTGTATTGGCCGGATAACACGGTGCCTTATTACTGTCCTCCTGCACCAACGAACGAGCCATTATCCATAGAACAAACATGGAGAATCGATGCCGTCGAACGACCGTTCTTACGATACAGATGCGTTTTTACCGACGATAATGAATCTCTCTATCGCGTAACCGCGAATTCGTAGAAAAACAGCTCCACGATCGGACAGAAACACGCGCGGCGGGTGTTCGTGGTCGGTTGCTTGTAACCGGGTTTTCGTGTCATAAGGACAGCCGCATAATTCAAGGCTGCGAAGTGCCGGTACCATCGGGCAACCGGTTCTCCCGATTTTTGTAGATTTCGAGCACGCGCTCGAAAACGAAGCCGTTTCAAACGTTCGCGAGATCGTTTCGCGTTTCGAGGGCGAACACAATCGATGACGTTTAAAATTGTCTTTACGGAACGACAGGCAGTTTAGAGACCGTGGACCGTTTTTAGTGCCGACACAACGGTATCGCGGAGGAACATTCACGCGAAAGGCGTTACCTTGTGGAAGGCGACATTTTCCGAGAGCGTACTCACTCGCGGGGGAACGATCATCGAGGAAACGACGGGCGTACGATAGTAGAATGTTTGCATATTACCAGGCCCGGTACAATAACCTCGTAAACCTCCACGTGAAACGCGTTCTACCCGATAATACTCCGATGGAACGGCGACCGGAATAGTTACAAATTAATGTACGCTAACGTTCACTCTGCTCCGTGCGATGACCGAGTGGACAAGCTATCGCGTGGAATTTTATTCGAAGCACAGGTGGCGAGGGCAGGATAAATAAATTACAGAGGTCCGACGCGAGGATGTAGGTTATATTGCCGCTGGTAATTATTCGTGATTCAGGCAACCGGCTCGACTACCGTCCCGCGAGGTTCGTACAAGAGGGACAAGTTCTCGTCTTCCGCGTGCTTTCCAAGCCGAACCACACGTTCCTCCGGGTCCGCAATCTGTTAACGCGTTGTCTCATCGCGTTGGGCCAAATAGGAATCGGTGGATGTTTCTCTAAACGCCTTTGGTACCCGATCACGTTTGTCACGAGATCCTCTTATGAAAGAACTGGCAGAGGAAGGCAGTTTCTTTCGCGGATCACTTACCATTCCGAGTGTTCTGCGTCGCGATCGTGTAGTCCCCACGAGAGACCTTATAATTGTGTAGTAGCGCCTGCCTCGTCAGTTCGGGATCGATCGTCCTCGGTTGATGCGACCTGGCCGTTCGACCGCCCGCCCATAGGTTCTTTGCGCTTCTCGATATCGCGGCTCTACGACAGTCGTTCGTTTTGATAACGGTATCGTCGCCGTTTCTCAAATTTCAGAGATCCTTAAAAGGGGGGTAACACTTACGAGGGATACTGCATGTTATTCGGCCCGATACAGTCCATCGGGTCCGTGAGCGCGTCTCCCCACACGTACTTCAAGCCCAGCCCGTTCCCCTCGCATTTTTTCGTTCCGTACACGTGGTGGGCGCAGCTCGTGATAACGAGGATCAGACCGAGATACCGGGACATCTGAAAGCACAGAGTAGATACACGTGAATGAAATGGCCCAACGCCAGCGGGGGGCCAGACCGTGAACGGTCGCCAATTTGTTTCGATGCAGCCCCGACATATGTATGTTGCACAGTGGGATGTAACTGGTCCGATTACAATAACAATGAGACATTCTACAGGGTATTCTCGGAAACGAACACATCGCTGTACTTGGAACGTCCGAGCAATCGAAACGGCCCCGTAGCGCGACGTGAAACGAACAAATTGTCTCACGTATCGGGAGCCGGTTCGTGGATGCCTATTAATGAGAAACTAATTACGCCAGGGCGAGCAGGAGCTCATGAATAAAACAACCGTGATTGGCAGCGGACACGGATTACGGGGATCCGTACGGGAGAACGCGTTGTCAACGTGTCGGAGGAAGAGGGTGCGAGCGAGAGCGCGCGATCTCGGAACTCGAGTTCGCACGAGGTCAAGAGCAAAAGTAAATGACACCTGAACGGGACACGGTGTGACTCAGTCGCGAAAAAATTCATCACTCGCCGTGCGTCTACTATCTTTTACCCTTTCGCTCGTAAATCTTTCGTCGGAACACACGCGTAACGATGACCGAATGATCGGCGAGTTACGAGACTCCGTGGGATTTCAGGGGTCTCAAACTCGATTCGAAGTCGGTCGTCGTCGTTGTCGTAGTGTCCCTCTGCTCGAGGCTACGTTCAGAGATGTTCCGTTTCACGGACTGGTGGCACGACGACGGCAAAAGAACGAGCAAGTAAACATTTTTTTCGCTTTCGAACCTCTCCAACGATGGCGATCACCGAGACGGAGCGAGAGAGTGACGACCGTGCGCAATTAGGAATAATAATTGCTCGCGTGTAATCGATACCGATCACCCGTACAGAGTTTGGGGTTTCTAGGTTGCCGGGTCCGTGTAACTTCCGTTATACGCATTTGTCGTCGATCGGAACGGGAGTGAAAGCAACCGTCGATTATAGAGGTCGATGTTCGGTTTCAAATGCCTCGCAAAATTTTTACCGATGAATCGTTCGTACATCGGTAGCAGCCGATACGTGCGAACGAGAAAAGCCAAGGTACGGAAACGACAGACTGACAAGGACTGATAAATCGCGCGTGGGAAAAGGAAAGGAAGGAAATCATTAATGGGCAACACTCAAGGCTGGTCGTTGGCCGTGACCGGTGTCGCGTATCTGTTTCTTCAAGGAAGCGTCCCACAGGTTCTCAGCGTTAAGCCTAGTTCCCGTAGACTTCTATGAACATATTGAATCGAGGGATTAACGAACACGGAAAAATTTCGGACTAGACGACTACACACGGAAAGTCGATGAATACGTATCGTTCAGTCTCTAACAGGTGGATTATTCGGAGATCGTTATTCGGGTCCTGGAAACTGGAATACATATGGGATCTCGAACTCGCGACTAATTAAGATCGTTCACAGAGTTGTCTCGACTCGATTCAGCTGTTTCCAGTCCCCTTTCGTCGGGGATTTTCGCACGCGATCATCGGTGGAAGCTTCACGGTGGATCGGCCGCGAATCGCGTTTCAAGCAAAACGGACACACGGCCGGGGCTTGTAATTGCCGGAGCTGATATTGATCGCGCAATAAAGTCGTCCGGATAAATATCTACAGGGTATATCCGTGGTCGCGTCTCGGGGGATTATATAACGGCGATCCAGGAGTAGAACGAGCAAGCTGCACGTGAGAATCACCTGAACTTGGGAGATCTACGTGAACCTCCGTGGGTTACAGCGCTCGACGGTAATTTAGGATCGAGAGGAACAATTATATGTAGCCGGCGCGCAAATTCTCACGTTGTTAGGAGCTTCTTTTCCCAGTCTCCGTCCGCGAAGTACTGTTAATACGTTAACGCGTCGGGGGAATAATTAACAGACTATCTCTGATCGCGACGACGCTTCCCTAACGGAGTCGCGAGGAACGCTTCAAGGGCGAAAAAGGCACGAACCTTCGTGGGCGAAGAGATCTGTATCTGGCTCGCGTTACAAATAATTAAGGAACTCGTAGCCTGCCTGAAGAATGACAGCGAAACCGTAAGAATCGGACAAAGAAGAGTCGAGGAAAAAGGGCAATTTCCAGGAGACGGGAGCAGATTCTTCGTGGACCATGAAACGCGTCACGCGGTTGATTCTAACGGTAAAGATGAACCGTCCAAAACGTCCTCTCCTCTCGCTTCGGTTGCTCTTCATCGAGTGTACGTTTATTCATCCTTGTCCTCGATAACGGTACAACCATTTCGGTGCTTCGTTTCATGAATAAATTATTATAACTGTCAGACAGTTGTTACGAGTTCGGGATTCCTATCGATCGTATAATCCGCCATCGTCACCCAGAAATTTTCTGCTCGTTGCCACTCTCGTAATCTCATGAGGATCATGAGCGAACTTAATTATTATCGATTCACGTAACGATCGATCGTTATCCCGTCGCGTAAACCACTTACGTATGTTGAAACAGTTCGAGATCGTTGTACTGGAAGATCTAAAGAAAGAAAGAAATGCGAGTATTATCGACCCGAGTATCGCGTCTTTCGGAAAAGAAAAGAAGAATGTAAAAGACCAGAACAGAATCTCACGGCGGGTATACGGCGCAGGAAAGAGCCAGTCCATGGCAGGATACCTAAACGCCGAACATTTTCCCCGGATAATAAACCTTTGAGGAACCTTCTCAGCGCCCGTGGTATACTTGGACACGTCCGCAATAATCATTTTTGAAATGCTCCGTTGCCTTCTCATACCTGTCTGGAATATTTCCAGCAGCAAACCTCGAATCTCTCTCTTCTCCGCTCTCAAAGATTTTACGCGCAGCCGCGACAACGCACGTGGCGGTCTTTCATCGACGGGTTAGATTTAATGATTATTATTTTCTCGTTTCCGCGACAGAAATTCTAATTAAGAGATCAAGCGAGAAGAGACAAACTTTACTTTAAGTATCTTCTGAAATGTCAGTCGTGTATTTGTGTAATTTATCTTGGAGTCTAATTAGGACCAGGGTCTTGGCTTGCCGGAGAATACAACTGCTCGTGTAGTAGCTCGAACAGTTAAACGAAGTTATTAAGTTTTCAAGGTTTACGTTCAGGACGGTTTAGTCCCGAAAATTTGTTAGGGACCCGTTGCTAAACGTCACTCACCGTGAGGAAGATCAACTCTGACACAGGTGCGTGAGAATCCTTTTCTCGGTCCGTACGACAATTACTCGATCGACTACGGCCGTTACATTAATCGATCGAAGCCTCCAAGGTTTGAAGGAGACAGGATTAAAACGAGGGTACACGAGTCTCTTAAACACTGTTCATGTCACTACACCGGATGTCGTGGGGTCGAACACCTCCTCCGTCTTCACAGGTGGATGTCCAGAGGTTGACTGTAGAATCGTAAGTAACCGCTTTCTGTGCTCTGGCAGAGCTGGGGAGAAAGAGGGGATGAGACGAGGAATATCGGTCCCTATTCTACCTCCAGTTTTTTTTTCCTCTCTTATTGGAGGAAAAGCCTGAAGGGGAAACGAAAGAAGGTAATCCAGAACGCCTCCCTTCCCTTTTTTAATTTCGAATTTCGTCGCAACTGTTTCTGTCGAAACTAGATCAGTAAATAGTAAAAAACGATGGTCTACAAAAAATTGTACTATATTTAATATCTTTGCTCTGGGCTAAAAAGGACGTGTAATAGAGGGTTAAAAGAATAACAATCGTTAAGATTACACTCTCTTTATGTTCAATTTCAAATGATGGTAATATCGTACAAAGTATGTGTGTATTTTTAAATTAACAGATTATAATCATTTGCGTGTGTCAGAGCCGTTAGTTACATTTTTATACACATGTAGATGCGATCAACCCTAGAGAATTGATTGCGTGTCGGATGGATGCGCGTATAAAAATTGTTTAACATTAAGTCCTTTTTAATCTCTATTTAAATATTACCAAATATTACCATTAGTCATTGTATTTGTGAGGGACCTGTACTTATAAGTAAACTACACAAAAAAAAACGTCAAAACTGCATACCTGATCGTGAAACAATGTGTTTCTCAAAAATTCTCCCTCAACGGAATAAAGCGACTAAAATTGATAATATTAGTTCACTGATAAATTTCCTTTCTTGAGCTCTAATCTGGATAACCACTGATGTAAATGATCTCTATGGAATTTCCTACCCATTCTAGGAACGATAAATTTATGAAATATGTTACATATTGCAATAAACAACATTCAATACCTTATAATACAGCAGCTATTCAGTATCGAAGTAGCTTATGTAAGCTATACCTTTTGTATTAAAATAAGCTTTGATTTCACGGGACTTTCGATAAACAAGTGGAAATCGCAGTCTTATAGATACTAAATGTGAAAATGACAATGGTGATCGCTGCTCAATGGAAAATTGTCGGACTAAAATTCAACAATGTTACCAACAAGAATGGAGACCGACTTTTATCCACGGAACTGAATGAGAATTGCATCAACGTCGTAGCTTAAAATACCCGAAAAGATTACCTTGCCAACGAAAGCTTAGGGAATCTCGATTCTTATTATACTTCGCTTAACTAAACGTATCCGCTAATAATATTAAAAACATTTACATATACATATTACACTCGCTTACTCAATCCTCAAACTTAATGGAATTGATGGTAGTATCTATTTGACCGCCGCGGTAGCTACCACGTTTTTTCTTCGTCTTTTCGTGACGAAATGACTTCCCCCTCGTATATTTCAGGTCTTGGTTTGCTTTCTCTCCCCAAGAGCCGCGTGCACCTCTCTGTTAAACAAAAATTATATCTTCACTTACCATTCTACTGTTTAATTAGATAATTTGTCTCCTGTGATGTGACTACCCCTCACCTTTATACAAATTTTTATCATCAATCGTCAAATGTAATCTTTTTATTTTGTGGTGGCGTGCTATCGAATGATTTTTTATTCTCGAAACCTCCCCTACCCCCTCTGAATCCACCGCGTCCACCCCTATCACCGCCATCGCCCCACGATTTTCTACCTCCCTCCGATTTACCTCCTTCGTTATCGTTACCACTCCACGACCTTCTGTTATCGAAACCACCTCGACCTCGACCTCCTCTGAATCCTCCACGACCACCTCTGTCACCACCACCACCATCTCTATCGCCAAATCCGCCTCGGCCGCCTCGGCCCCCACGACCTCCACGACTATCCCTATCGCCAAAGCCGCCTCGGCCACCGCGACCGCCACGACCGCCTCTATCAAAGCCGCCACGACCGCCTCTATCAAAGCCACCACGACCGCCTCTATCAAAGCCACCACGACCATCCCTAAACCCTCCGCGACCGAACCCACCCCCTCTACCTCCACCGAATCCACCCCTATCACCATGTTTCTTAAAACCACCCTCGTCTTGACCGTCCTCCTAGAACAAAAGAGAAACCCAGGTCAACCGCCGTTTCTTTTTCATAAATACATCTTAAAGAAATAGCTTTTTGATTAGTTCTCCCAAAACGAACATTTCAGAAAGGATCGGTGAATGCACGGAAACATGTCCTCGAGCTTTTATAAAACGGCGAGTGACCTGCGCTTCTCGGATGTTTCCAAGCATTTACCTTTGCCTCAAAAGAATTGTTAGCCAATTTTGGGTCCAATTTTACCTCCTCGTCCTTTACACGACGAAACGGAATATTTTTTGTCTGCTAAACATAAAACTTGGTAAATGATAATTTTTTATGAAGAAAATGAATGTACCAAATAAAATATTATACCTTATCACCATTGAAGCTGTTACTTGCTTTCACAAAATTGCTGTAGTTGTTTTTCTGAGCTTTTGGTGGATTTTCTTCTTCTTCCTCCTCCTCATCTTCTTGCTCTATTGCCTTATGCTTTCTCTTTTCTCCTTTAGCCGGTGTTTTTTGTTGCGGCACCACGTTCTGTTCTTCATCTGACTCACTTTCATTTGAATCTGAATCTTTTTTCGCAGCCGCTGGTTTTGAACCAGCTTTAACTATAGGTGCTGCTGTTGGTTTTTCGTCTTCAGACGAATCTGATTCAGAATCTTCACTAGTTGGTTTCTTCTTGGCTTTTGCTTTGGCAGCTGCCTTTGGTGTAGCTGCAGCTGCTTTGACAGGCTTTTCATCTTCAGATTCATCAGAATCATCAGAGCTAGATGAGTCTTTTTTTGCTACTGGTTTCGCTACTGACGTCTTATCTTCGTCAGAATCATCGGAATCTTCACTGGAAGACTGTGATTTTTTAGCTACCGTAGGTTTAGCGGGTGTTACAACTTTAGCAGGAACCGACTTCTTAGCTGGAGGTTCTTCTTCGCTACTGTCATCACTAGAAGATTCTTCCTTTGTGACTGCTGGTGTTGCCAGAGTAGCTTGTTTAGGTGGAGCTTTTTCTTCCTCTTCGCTACTGTCGTCACCAGATGAAGACTCTTCCTTCTTAGCGGGAGTCTTCTTTGATGCTACTTGTGCCGAAGATTGTGTAGGTTTCTTTTTAGGTGGTTCTTCTTCTTCACTACTTTCTTCGCTAGAAGAACCTACTTTCTTTGCAACGGGTTGTTTTGCTGACACAGTTTTGCTTTGCTTTTCAGATTTTACAGGCCCTTTCTTTTGTGGAATAGATTTTTTCTTGTCTGGAACAGCCTTTGCAGCTGGTTTAGCAGAAGCCTCTTCTGAAGAATCATCAGAATCGTTGCTAGAAGATTCTGCCTTCGTGGTAGCTTTAGTCAGTGTTGGAGGCTTAGCTTTAACTGGCTGTGGTTTTGCAGTTGCTTCCTCCGAGGAATCATCAGAATCATCACTGGATGATTTTTGTTTCTTTGCTGGAGCTTTTACTACACCTGCAGCTGACACAGGTTTTTTTAGAACTGGCTTAACTGGACTTTCCTCTTCACTATCTTCACTAGAAGATTCTTTCTTTTTGACTGCAGTTTTTGTCTGAGGTTTTGCAGCTGTTTTTATAGATACATTTGCTTTAGACTCTTCTCCACTATCCGAATCAGAATCATCGGATGATTCTTGTGCTTTAGTCACTTTAGTTACTTTAGGTGTTGAGACTGCTTTTGGCTGTGCTTTAGGGGTATCGTCTTCCTCTTCTGAAGAACTTTCATCTGAACTGTCTTTTTTCTTTACTGGTGGTACTTTAGATGGAGTTTTAACAACAGGCTTAGCTTTAGTGGCTGCCTTAGGTACCGGTTTCTCATCTTCACTAGAGGAGTCATCTGAAGATGACTGCTGCTTTTTATTATTCACTGAAGCATTAAGTGCAGCTTTACCATTTACTTGTGGAACTTTCTTTGGAGCTTCATCTTCACTTTCTGAACTTGAGTCTGAACTACTGTCTTTAGTTTGTGCTTTTATATTTAGTTTTCTAGGAGAGGTCTTCTGAAAATGCTGAAACACCTCTTGTATGGACACTGATCCTTTCGGCAGCGCGGGCTGAAAAAATAAACGAACATGAGTGACGGTTACATTTATACTTAGAGATAAAGTAGAATTTACTCATGCGAATAACATTCAAGCGGCGTAATATTAATTTGTAATCGTAAAATTTATAAAATACGCGACAATCAAGACAACTTTCGATGCAAATTCGAAATATAAAATGACGAAAATATTTCGCCCACGTGGTACGGCAGAATGGCGGTACTTCTTATACCGCATGGGCAGCGGCACAACTGAAATCGATTAGCCAAAGTATATACGTAAAATCTTTATATAACCTTACCGCTTTTGTTTTCTTCTGAAAAACCTTTGCCAATGATGCGTCTTTTTTTAATAAATAATCGTACACAAGGGCAGAAACATTTAACTCATCAGTGGATGCCATGATGGACGCGTGCACAAAGAACTTGGACAACGAGCCGCAATTGGATGCAAGAAGGCAGAGGCCGCATAGGCATTCTTCCGCCTTCGTGTGAGGAGCGCTGCAATCGGGCATAAAATGCATCGAACTTAGATGCTGGACTCATCTTACAGTAATATAATAGTTACTTTTGGAACGTATAGTCAATTATAGATTTGAAATCTATGCAATAATTAACATATTTCGTTCATATAGCATCTGTTCAAATGTGTGGGGTTTTCTTAACAATTATTTCAAAGAAAATTGTTCATTATCGTGCGAAATTTTCACATGGTATCTAATGGTATCTACCATGATGTAAAGATACTGTAGTCAATCATGTATTGGTTTATTCTATGAACTTTCCGAAAATTGATAAAATCCTCCTCTCGTGATGTGATTGGTGAAATATCAGTTAGTACACTGTGCATTGGACATTTTAAAAATGATAAACCGACTCCGGTTGTAACGCGTGAAGTGCTGAGTTTTTGAATGATTATTCAGTTTATTTACTTATATTTGGCGGTGATTGTTCGAAAATAATGACGGAAACGCAACAGAAGACGCAATGTATAACGTTGAAAGGCTCCGCACAATTAGTCAAAGAATATCTTCGTAAGTTTATCATTATTTAATATTCTTTTCAAACGTACTTGGAACCGTTGATCATCTCTTCGAATGACGGCTATTCCTTTGCCTTATGGTTCTTTGTTCTTATTACAGTTTACGGTGTGAATAGTATTTTGTACCAAAGAGGCATCTATCCTCCAGAAACATTCGAACCTTCCGAACATTTTGGGTTGTTCGTTCTAATGTCTACGGATGAAAAAATCAAGGGGTTCCTGGATACTGTTCTTGGCCAGATTCAAGAGTGGTTGATTCAACGAAAAGTACAAAAAGTAACACTCGTCATAACGAACGTAAATACCAAAGAAGTTTTAGAGAAGTGGGACTTCAAGGTCGATTACGAAGGTCAGGTTTCTAATGGAGTGAAGGACAGTACAAACAGTGGCCTTCCGGATGTTGGAACAAAAGAAGCAAAGGCTGTACAGAAGGAGATTCGTGAAGTAATACGCCAGATTACAGGTATACTTTATGTCAATTGTTTTCAGACGTACGCAGAGGAATAGAAGAAAAGGTGCTACTACAAGAGCTTTGCTTCCACTTTCTATGTTTTTTTAGGTACAGTGAGTTTTCTTCCATTATTGGATTGTTTATGCTCCTTCGACATATTGACTTATACTGTACCTGACTGTGGCATTCCAAACGAATGGGATGAAACACAGCCAGTTTTCATTGCCAATAGTCAGGAAGTACAGTTAAGATCATTTTCAACTTCTATCCATAAAATGAAAACTGTAGTCAGTTATAAGAATGTCTAGAAATAAGTGTTTTATCATTTGCAATTGTTGAAACGTACATATGCAGCGTATGTTGATTTGAACTATTTTAGCAATATTTAATATTAAAGACTGGTATTTTAATCTTATTTTGAATGCGAATGATCACTATCAGTGATCGCATTACTTTTAAGAGTTTGCGCATATGTATTGATACTACTATTGTTTGAGAAGAACTTTATAGAAATATATTTTTTGTCATACTTTGGGTATTTTATCTCGCATTAGGGGAACTCAATTGTTCCATTAGTTCTCTTCTAATAATTCCAATAGCTTTAATGTTGCCTATTCCTGTCCTTTTCTTCTGCTTCCTTCGTAATGTTTAATTAGGTTCTATAGTTGAGTTTGTAAGTAGGGAAACCAATGAACTGACAAGAATCTTGGCAGATTTTATTAAAACATAATTGACTATTACACTTAACACAGAAATTATATTATTTTACTTGGCAAAGCATGAAAGATACGACTAGAATAAAATATTCTTCGTGTCTCACGTTCGTCACATACCAAATCGCAAGTAACGTTAGCTTTACATAAATGTTCTCTTGTGTACGTTTGCTGCAAACCTCGTTAATATTTTGTCCGTTTGTCTTTCGATGTACACGACATAAATCACGAAACAAACGTTAATCCGATCTTGAACGTAGGGTCGCAACAAAATTTTCGGGAGTACGTACACGTTGACTAGGCATCTTGTTTATACATATAAGTAATTCGCGGGTGAAATTCGAGTGCTCTTTCCGGTGCGCGATTTGAAATGAAATTTATTATAAAACTCGTGTTTTCCCGTAAACTATTCTCATCTTCATTCAGGGGTGTCGAATAATTGGTACTGCTTGTAACACATTCTTCTGACTCTGGTACCTACTGTACTCGATTTCTTCGAGTCGAATCGAAGACCACCTTTTGTTTAGGAAACATCAACAGCGGCTTTATGTTTTCGTTAATAATTGCAGCGTTCCTCTTCCCTTACGAACAATTTTCGCTATTAACTTCGTTAACGTACTTCGTGCTGCTAGAGTTTAGCCTTTACGATCCATAGTGCACTTCGTTTCGCTATTAGACTATCGTTGAACGCAATCGTTCACTGTCACGCATCGTACAAAAAACGAATCGTTAGGTCGACCCTCCATCTCTGTTTCTCTTTCTCTACCTCTTCCAAACTAACATTATTTAACTTTCGAGAACAAGGCAGGCTTGCTTGCTTCCGCATGTCTTTACACCGGGTCCACGCTTCCGGTCGCGGCCCACACTTCCGAGGGCGGACAGCACGTCCGTAATAATCTTTTTAACACTGTACGCAAGCTGAACGCTCTTAAATCTCACCTAGACTATTAGATTTGCGTCGGTTTTTTTTCTGGTTAGTTTACACACTGCAAAAGCTGCTGGAAATACGTTCAAGTTTATAAACATTACTAACCCGACCGATCCGCTGAGAGTTTGTTCTGTCACGTTTTAAGTGCACCGTTCGGCTAGGGGTATTTATCAGGTATATCGAATAGGGTTGTTCAAAAGTCTGGAATCGGCCTCACAACGGATTCGATGAATTTGTAGCGAGTAATTTTCCATTTTCAGACTTTTAAACGGTAACGCGTTCACATCGGTTCCGATTCCAATTTCTCCAATGATGGAGAAATGTTTAAAAACAGTTTATTTGTTTGTTGCGAAGACTGAAGGACCCACCGCGGACCAGTACACGAGTTACGTGTCGCTATAACATTACGCGATAATTCTCTTGAGTACCGTAAAAACGCGTCTCCTAGTAAAAACATTGAAAAATAAATAACGCGAAACAATATACAATATTTTACAGTAGCGCTTAGTTGTCTCGTCCGTGTCAGGGCGATTCTCGCGGTTCGGTAAATCGATCTCGACGAAACAAAAGATTGGTCGTGTTTCGTTTCCTTCCAACGATCCTGGCACAGAATCGACGAGGGCGGTGGTATTCAACGATAACAATCGTTGATCGTTTGTAGGTGAATTAACTATTATTAATCATCATCATTAGTACGATCGTCTAACGCGGCAATAGTCGTTCTCGCGGGTCCGCTCTCTTGCTCGAATAAACGACGACGCGCGCGCGCGCGCGTTCACCTCAACCCCGTTTGGACTGTGCAACCCTTATGCACCTCCTGTCTTCGTTTATACACTTCTACTTAGGTTTACCTTGGACTAATCGCTATGGTTCGATTTACGTTCGTTTTATGCGTAAAATATCATAAAATACATTCCTCTTTTCTTCGCTATAACTAGGCTCTTCGTTCCGCTCGGCCTTCGAGCTCTTTCTCGACGGTACCATATTTTAATCGTCTCTTTTTTTGCTTTTTATATTATCCAGGAACGTTACGCGAGCCTCATTCCGTGTCCTTGTTCACGCTCCTCGCGTATACGTCTCCCCTTGAAAGACCAAAACGTTACAAACTATATTAGCATTGTTTCGGGAAGGGTACGGGCTCGCTCGCACCGGACGGAACGCCGAGCCATCGATGACTTACGATGACTTTCATACAAATCGTTCGAGATAGGTACGAGCGACGTGAAATGAACTTCGTAACGAAAAAGCACGGCGGCACTAGTAAGCTTGCACGGACATCATACGCTACCACGATTCTCTCGTCTTAAAAAAGTCTTTGGTGTGTGTCGCTAGAGAGTGGCACAGTACTTCCTCCTCCCCTCGCGTGGGAGAACGCTTGGAAACACTCTGTTCGCTCGTTCGTTCGGCAACTATCTATACGTAATCGTTTTATACCTCTAGAAATGTAAAAAGTATGGCGCGCGTGTGCTCGCCGCGATCGATGTTGACGTCGAATCAGCGTTACAAATTGTTCTGTATATTTTATGGAGTACGAATGAATGAAAGGACTGATTTGGAGTCGAATGTACATTGCAATTCTTAAATAACATATGCACAGCATTTACCTGAAGCTGACGTGAATTAAATGCCAATAGTATACATCTACGTAACCTATTGAAACATTTCTTTACTAAGAATTACATTTTGCTATACGATCCAAGAGTAACATACTTCCGTTCGATTATACTCAATATTTCGCTGAAGTAACGGCCAAGATTTCAGCTTTCGAGAAAATCGCTTCGTGACTTCCGGTAAATGTTCGTTTCGCTCCTAACGAGTAACACCGCTTGATCGTCGCCGTCCTCGACTTGATTATCGACGGCGCGTTGCTTTCCACCGTCGCCCTTTCTCGTTCTCTTTTTCTTCTTTCCCTCAAGCACGATCGTTTCGTACAAGGCCAATCGGGGCCGATATTAGGATTCGACGAACGGTGCGGCGAAAATGTAATTACTCGGGCCGGTGTCGAGGCGTTGCGATTCTTACGGCGATGTTCGTTGCGAGTTCCGTTAATTAAAGTACCGAAGCCCGATTTCGCCGGGACTGGCGTAATAACGTCCTCTCAACGCTTTTTTCGTCCCAACAAAAAAAATACACGACAGACGTTCGCTTTCGATGTCTCGATCGATCGGTGGTCGGCACACGCTTCGCTTCGAGGGATACAAGGAATACTTTGTACAAGAGCGTCCTGGACGTGTCTGAATGCACGCTTTGACGAACACTCGCTCGACAAACCGAGGAGCACCTTTCACGGCGGATTTATTCGTGATTCCAAACACCTGGTCGGGTCCTCGAGGCAGTCACTTTCGTCGATGAATCGAATCGGACCGGTGACACGATTAATATACATATCTAGTACCGAATATCAATTGATTCTGTGTCTAAGGTCCATCTGGTTAAAAGCGGCTAATAATAAAAATATGGAAACCGAAGTCTGAGCGAAGGCGTCGCGGAATTTAATAGAAGAGGACTTGCGACGAATAAAATTGGAATTTTTGTCGAATGGAGTTGATATAAATCGTTCGAAATTATCGAAATCCATGTCTGTCCGCGCAATTACGTTTCTGCCTCGAAGACACTGGCCGCCACGTAGAAAGACCGGTTGATCCTGAAAATCCTATTACAAGATCTGGGATCGTCTAGGACAAGTCCTTCTATTCGCGATCCCGTAAAACGAAATCGTCGCGTCCACGTGGCGCTGTAACGATCCGCACGTGTTCACGGGGAAAGGCTCACGACGTCCACCACTTCACCCCCTCCTTCGTTTTCTCCTTTTCAACCGGGGTTTAGGAAAAGTGAACGAAAGTTCCAGGATTTGTGAGCCGTTTGTCAAAGAAGATTACGAGCAGTCTTTGGGAAAGTAACACCGATAATGTCGCGGCTTCCACGAAGACGCAATATTGGAAGAAAATCGAAACGACAAATGATCCACGAGCGGCGCACAGCGAACCCTTCGGGGAGAAAATTAAGGTTGTTCGAGCTGTTCGAAGGAAAAAGAAACAACGTACTCTCGTAAATGCAGTTTACACACGCGGGACTTAAATTCGATTTGGCCGCGATATTTTTCCTCGCTGCTGCCAGTTCGTGCGGCAACGTTTATCGTGTGTCCCGACATTTTCAACCGGCCAAGAGAAAACGAAGGGTGAAAGAGAAAAAGGGAGCTTGCTTTTTTTACTCTCCCCCGTTGTTTTCGTACGTCTAATTCAACCGCGGCGACCCTTTCTCGCCGGTGGACACGCTGTTTTCGTTCAATGGCGTCGCTCGTTCGTCCGAGTCTCCTCTGTTCTTGCTCGGGTGATTGCTTTAGGACGACGTCAAACCACTCGACGATGTTCTGCAATGAAAAAGAAAGATTCGAGCGATTAAAATCCTTCGTTCATTTGGATCGTCGTTGATGTACAAAATCAAAGGGAGAGACTGTCTTTGTACAATGTTTAACGCGTGATTTAAAGGTTCTAACGACAGGACGAAATAAGAGCAGACGGAAAAAAGTAAATCTGAGTTAACCATGAATCTGTCTTCCTATAACGGAATAATAAAATTACCTGGTTAGGATATTTCGAGATGCTGATGGTGCCTTTCACAGCTTCCGCGTTTTCGAAGACGTTATTCAGCCGGATATTCATGCTCC